CCCCAGCATCTCCGTGGCTCCTCTGGCCCCGCTGGAGCAGGTCCGTGTCCTTCTGCTGTTGGTGCCCCCGAGCTGGACCCAGCCCTGCAGGGGGGTCTCCCAGAGCGGAGCAGAGGGGGAGAATCCCCCCCTGGCCCTGCTGCCCCCCCTGCTCTGGGTGCAGCCCAGCACACGGGGCCTTTCTGGGCTGCCAGCGCACGGTGCTGGCTCACAGGCAGTTTGCACCCCCAGCCCCCCAAGTCCTTCTCCTTGGGGCTGCTCTCCAGCCCCTCCTGGCCCAGCCTGGATTTGTGCCTGGGATTGCCCCAATCCATGAGCAGCTCAATGAACTACTTAAACCTTCTAGTAAGTCTCTCACCTCAGCATCACGTAATTGCATCAGTAGGTGAGATTGATGGCGTTTCCTCAGAATTTAGAGAAGTACAAAAGGATGCTGCATGGTTTGACTAATCTGATACGCCTTCCCAGTGCGTCCCGCTTCACATGACGGGAAGGTTAGTGTTGATGGAGAGAGTGAGTGACTGTGCAGCAATACCAGGGACTTCAGAAAATACACTTTGTGTACGGGTATGCTTAGACCTTCTTCATAATCCCAGTATCTAATGTTAGTCTGTTGTGTGTTTTAACATTACAACAATTACACTTTGAAAAACGAACCTTCATAAGAGCTACTGTGAAACTTCCAGATGTGTTACTTTATTTCATAACTGTGAAGCGTAAAAAAACCCCCCCCCCCCCTTTTTTTTTTTTTTTTTGTCTTTTGAGAATTTGCAATAGGGTTAAACTTCAATGGTGGAAGTTACTTCAGCTCTTTTAGCCTTACCTGACTGCAGTGCCTTTTGAATTTTGCAGTTTAGTATGGTAAATGGTGTTCATACCCAAGCAGTATGTTGCAAGAAGCTGTTCTGTACGCTTTGAAGTTCCAACTCAGAGAAAAAATGAACAGCAGGAAACAGTGAAAAGCAGTGAGGATTGTGCCACAGGCGGTTGCAATAACTGCAGTTTTGAGACCAGTCTTCTCATGCTATTGAATATAAGCCAGAGCTGAGACGCATCATCACAGCATCTAAATTTGCACCAAGTCTTGTAAAATTCCTTCTTTTTGTCACCTCGGGAGTTTCAGATCATCTGTGGAAAGCTTTGAGACTTTCTTCTTTAGTTTGTAACTTTTTTTTTTTCCCCCTCCTTTATTCTTTTCTGATTGCAGGAAATTTTAGCTGAGTGTGACCTGAGCAAATTAAAATGTTATTTGGATGCTATTTTGGCTGACTCATTTTTCGTTCCCTAAGAAATAAATAAAGTAACTTCAAGAAAAAATGCATGTTAATCTATTTGTGAAATAAATTTTTGCGCTATTGCTTCAGGAAAGTCTCGCCTTGGTTTTGCAAAACTCCAGACCATAATAAACTACGTAATGTACTACACGTGATTCTGTTTTTGCAGGCAAGTGGTATGGCGTATCCTAAAAAGCTATTAAAGATGCTGTGTAATTTAATAACCTTATTTTAAAGCAAGATTATGTATTGAATTATGATAGTGTGAAATGAGGTTTTCATGTAGTCTTGCCTCAGATTCTTTTCAGATTAGTCATTTGTTTTCTGGTTGACTGCCTATGAACAGCAAAAAGAGAAGCTTTCACTTCTGGGATTTAATATTTGTTGTGCCCCATTGCTTTTGTTTTATTTTTAGGCTTTTTTCAGCTGTGTTGTGAGTAATGGCTTGCTTCGGTTGCAGAGCCATCTGAGAGCCTGAACAATAATGGCTTGCCTTTTTATTTCAAGGCTCAACGAAATTCAACTTTGTTTTAAATTCACATCTCATCCTGCTGGTGGTCGAGGCCTGTTATCAACTTTTGGAAATAGCTTGTTAAAAAAAATCTGAAACTTTATTGAGGGTGGTTTTTTTTTTTTTTTTTTTAAATAATCTGAATGAAAGCGTGCAGCTCACATCACTGTGCTTTTCCCAGCATTTTTCAAACCCTCCTGAAGAGCCTCCTGTGTTTCCCTGTGCTGCAGAGGCTGCCTTGCGGCAGGCAGCGTGGGAACCGAAGCTGGCTGACCTCTATTTTAAATGTCAGAGGTGCTTCAACCTTGCTTTCAGATTCCATTTGCCTTTTTTAACTGTTCCTTGGGACCCTGCTTGGCGCAGCACTGTTTTAGAGAAGCACTTGTGCAGCCTGAGCTGTGCTGTTACACAGCTGGACTCGTCGTTTTTTAGAGGTGGTTGTCGATTGCCTGCGCTGTGCGGTGTTCATAGGAGCTGGAAGCATCTTGTCCAAACTGGATGTCAGTAGGCAGGTTGAGTTTCTTGATGCCCAAATGACTTTACAGAGCTTTCAAAACCCCTGTGTTACAAAATATGGGTATTTCTTTCTTCTTTCAAAACAGCATCCTGTGGGTGAGTTGCTCCTTGTTGGTATGTAACAGGAGAGGCATCAATACTCTTCTATCATTGGGTTTTGTTGTTTTGTGTGGTTTTGTTTTTTTTTTTCCAACTTCTCTCGTTTTCCCCCAGGGCTCCCCAAGCATGTCCAGGATAGTGTGGTTGGTACTGCCGTGACTATCTAATTCTAATCATCGTGGGTAATTAATAGCAAGTTTCCTTATTTTGTCCCGTTATTTCCTAGCATCAGCATTACCTGATAGTGCAGCATAATTATGAAGAAGAAATAATGTGTGTGTAGGTGCGTTTTGTACACTTGGGGTTTCATAGCTTTGACAGGGATGAAAGATACCGATTGGACAGAGGGAGATTTCAATAATCAGTGTCTCTTACCCACCCTGCTGCATAACATACTGTGTGCTACGTAGAATTGACTTTAAAACCCTCAAAGGATTGTAGCGTTTCCTACCTTATGGTAAATACTCAAATTAAGCCTCTCAGAGGTGTGTATAATCACTCCCTCAGCTCAACTATGAATGGGAGTAAGTGTATTCTCTATGCGTGGAAACGACAAACACTTGCTATTCTTTCATAACTGCAGTGACTGTTTAAAATGGAATGGCTTTCGGATCAGAATTGCTTCCGACAGTTCTATTTAGCCAAACGTTTTCCTTGTCAAGCGGCCATTCATTTCAGTCACGGGATTTAGATGCTAAAGGCATGGGATGACAACCTTTTTAAAAATGTTCTGTCCCGATTTGTCTGGTGTTTGTATCCCTTTGGTTGGTACAAGGAGCCCTCCTGTGCCGATCAGGAGCTCCCCTACGTAATAAATACTGAGCTCACCCTTGCATCTTTGCCCAGCTTCCCGCCGTGATTGCGCTGTCCTTTTGCCCTTTGTCTAGGCATCTGCTGACAGTTGCTGTCAGGATGCTTGGACTCGCCAGCCCTTTGGTCTGACGGGGTGCAGCCTCTGTCAGGTAATGGCAGAGCAGCCGACAAGCGAGTCCCCGCTGCGATACGCACCGTGCAGGCATCACACGTAGCGGCAGGGAGCTGTCGGTTACAAAACGGTGAGACCAGAAAGGGAGAACGTCCCTGGCTCTTCCATGTGAACCATAAGACTGTTTATTTGTTCATAGGAAATCATTAGCTGTCCTAAGAAATTTTAGTATTTGTCAAAAAACTAAACAAAAAAATCCAACAAGAAAATCCAAAACACAAGCCGACCTCCAACCAAACAAACCTTTTCTTTCATTTTTAGCCAAAGCTGCAAACAACAACAAACATGTTGTAGGATGTATTTGATATATGTCACATTAACCGATTCACTTCGGATTTTGTTTTTAAATGTTCCCTGGGAGTAGGTTAGTGGGCATATATTTTGCTAGTTTTGGGGGAAAATCGTAAAGTGACTGTTACCTTTGTGTTCTCTAAGACCAACCACAGAATTATCTCACTGACGTGAGTACTGCTTTTGGGAACAGAATTTATTTATTTTTTTTTCCTTCAGAAAGATGCATTCAGTTACTTCTTTGGAGAATTCTTTGGTTAGTGGCTGTATCATGTACCATGTGTGAAATGCCTCTGACTCCTCCGTATGACCATAAGATTGTTTATGTATAGTTATACATCAAGCTAACTGATTTATTTAGAATTTTGTTTTTAAATGTTTCCTCTGAGTAGGTCAGTGGGCATATATTTTCTGGTTTTCAGGGTGAGTTGTAAAGCAACTGCCACCTTTGTGCTCTCTAACACCAGCAATAAAGTTATGTTTCACTTCACGTAAGTACTGGTTTTAGGAACAGATTTTTTTTTTTTTTTCTGCAGAAAGATGCTAGCTCTTAAAGATACATTCAGTTACTTTGGAGAATTCTTTGTTTAGGGGCCGTATCACACGCTGTGTGGGAAATTCGTGCTTTCTGAATGTTTACGTAATTGGGGAAATTTTTTTTTTAATTATCAGGGTTTTACTGAAAAGATTCTTGAGGCCTTCCTAAATACAGTTAAAAATCGAAGTTTGGAGATTAGTGAAAGTGGCTGTTATAGTGATGCATGTTATACCTTCAAGACTAGGGCTTTTTTTTTTTTAACCCACTCATATGCAGTGTATATACTGAGAAGGGAAAGTGTCGAAAAGGACTGGGATTTTCTGTCAGAAACACCTATTTTTATTTAAGAGTTTGTGGTAAATAGGGGCTTTGACTCTCTTGTACCCACTTCGCTATTGATTAGTGGAATTTGAAAAGACAAGCTTTATTTTTGGATTTACAGTGTCACTTTTATTTTACTGTACCTGTTTACAGACCTTTCCTGTGGGTGGGGAGGAAGGAAATACTGCTTTGAAGTTAGGAATTCTTGTCCGTCTTCCAGCAGCACGGATCGAGAATTGTTCTACCTGCCTTGAAAAAACCTATTCTAAGGCCTGTGCTCCTCACTTACAAGCTCCGTGTAGCTGGAAGGTGTGTTAATGACTAGGCAAAAGCATCATCATATCAACGGCAGCAAGAGCTCTTAAATCTTTTATCAATCAGGATGATACAGAAAGGAGAATACAATAGAAATTTGAGTTACAACGAAGGCTAGGTACCGACAGGCATTTTATAGGATGGGAAGAACTTGTCACACTGCAGAACTAGGAATTATTTGAAAACAATGAGCATATAGTTGGGATCCTGATGTCAAGAACTAAATCAAGACCTTAATCTTCTTTTGCAGAACCAAAAAACAAAAGAACAGATTGAAAGCTTGTTACAGAATGGAAAGCATAAAGAGTTACGGGATCGTCTCTGCTGCAGGCTGACCTTTGGGACTGCCGGGCTTCGCTCTGCCATGGGAGCAGGCTTTTGCTACATCAATGATCTCACGGTGATCCAGTCAACACAGGTAAGCCGAGTAGTTAAACAGGAGAGGATAGAATGGTTTCACAGTAAATGTTTGGGCCGTACAGCGTACGGGTGAAATACAAGCTGAGGGTGAAACGCGGCAGCCATTCAACAGGAGAGCATTAGCATGAAACGTTTAGTGCTGAAAGAAAATAAAGTAGCTTGAACAGGTTTAACTGGGCATCCTAGGAGGCAGAATAGAATCACCTCCACTGGAATTTGGCCAGTAATTAAAGTCTATTCTACTGCTCTGTAGTTGGAAATCATTAGCTGTCCTAAGAAATTGTAGTATTTGGCAAAAACTAAACAAAAAACCCAACAAGAAAAGCCCCAAAGCAAACCAACCTCCAGCCAAACAAGCCTTTTCTTCCATTTTTAGCCAAAGTTGCAAACATACAACTCTGTATGTCAAATTTTGTATACGAAAATAGCAGGTTTTACTAAGAAAATGAACACAGGAAGTAAGATGACGAAAGAAAATATAGACAAACTGAAGAACATCTGTATTGTAAACTGTTTAATTTCTGATGAATCCTTCCAGCAACACGCGTTGTGTTACCTACAACTGGATTGGATAGTTGTAGAAAATACTGTGGTTAAGTGCCTTGGCATTAGTGTAGCTTTGTCTGCAGCTCTTGGTGCTTTTTTAAGTAGACATGCAAGGAAGTAATTTGAGATATGAACTTAAACTCTCACATGTCAAATCTTATGTTCCTATTGGATCAGAGAGGTCAGTGGTTCGTGGTTTATCCAGGATTTAAGATTTGTGTATATGGGTTAAAGATACCATTATAGAATTACTTGCTAAGAAAGCATTGTAGACAGCTGTTGATCTTTTAGATCTGAAGTTTGTTGGAGTATTTTAAGATGGACTTCTTGATTTAAATACAGACAGGGACATCTTGGAACTTAGACGTAGCTCTTGACTGCCACTTTGGTAGTTGTATTTAGTGTTGTTGAAAAGAGTCTGATGGGATGGGTCTGCCTGTGGGGTAAAGTTTAGGCCAGGGAGGCTTTCGTCCTAATTTCCTCCTCGTCTGCCAGAGATTAGGCTCTGCTGGTGCTAGATGGCCATTTAGAAGGGCACAAAAACTGGTGCGTGGAGTTGAGCTGGACAGAGGCTGCTCTGGGGTCACAGCTGATAGCAGTGCTGTGGTGGGAAGAGTGCTGGCAGACTCCTCACTTCTGACACATCTTTTCCTTGAACCATGTTTTAGATGAGCTGTTTAAGTTGCTTAACAACCAGAAATACGGTTTTCTTAACAACCAGAAATTCGGTTTTCTGGACTTCTTCAATATCTTTTACTTTTTCCTCTGTTGGCTTTGGTCTTGCATGCCCGAAGAGGGCTGGAAAATGGATCAGTCTATTCTCAGTTTCCCTCCCTGCTTCTCTTCCAAGCAGTGTTAATGAGTTGTGCGTTGATTGTCTGAATGAATCAACCTGTTGATGCATATAAAGCTTAATCATCTCTGCTTTTTCATTGAAGCACTGTTTTGTTCAAGGACAGATGATCCATTCTTTCTCAAAGAACTTGGTCCCCAGTTGTCTAATTTCCTTCCTCACCTTTTTGATAAACACCTTTGGAAGGAATGGTTGATGTTGATTTAGTTTTTGGTCAAAAGCAGTCCATGCTCCTTTTCTATATTGCTGTCTTACAGTGGGTTTGTTCTTAAATTTGCTTATTGTATAGTACAAGCATGCTTTTCAGCTGATGTGTTCCTCTATCAGTTTTTTCCCCCAAACAAGTAGATTGAATAACTACTCTTCACAACTAAACTTCATAAAAAAATTAATTTGGAGTACGTTTGAAATTGATCTGATATTATCCATACTTGGAGCACATGAAACAAGAGTCTGAATTCGAACATTGATTTATCTAGGTTGTAGTCCTGTTAAACTATCATTCCTGACTTGAAGTATGTGCAAGAATGACTATCTGTTGTGGTAAATATTAAGCAAAAAGGAGTTGGATTCTTAATCTGCAAGGTACGGCTTTCTCTCACCCCACTGAAGGTAGTGAGAGGCAAGGAAAGGCAAGTGTTGAATCCTTTTGAAAACCAATAGTCTGAGTCAGTAAATGATGTTCCGTATTTCCTTATCAACATAAAAATACATGGGTATAAAATAATGGGTTTGGACTGTAAACATTAAATATACTTAAACATCTTATCTGTTCCCACCTTTAGTCTTGACTGTTGGAAATATAATGAACTGATATATTTGTAACCATTGTACTTGGAACATCAATAAAAAGTTTTTGTTACGACAAACCAACTAAACCTTATCTACTTTGTCAAGTTCTTTTTTTATAAATGGAACTTCAGCCTATGATAAAAGGTGTTTTATTACATGATTTACAAAGGGATGATAAAATCTCTCATTTAATACTTAAAACACTTTAGAACAGTTGGCTCTGCAGGTTGTGCTCTGACAGACGTCCCTCAGTAGACATGACAGAAATAATCTGTTTTCTGTTGGCTCAGGGGGAAGTGCTGTGCTTAAACCTTGGAATAGCTGGGACTCCTGAGCTGTTTGACATACTGCTAATGTCGGAGTTGTACAACTGGAGCCCAAACTCTTGTGGTGAAACCAAATTCCAATCAGCTGTTTATACAGGCCTTGAAAAAAAAAAAAAAAAAAAAAAAAAAAAAAAAAAAAAAAAAAAAAGAGAAGTAACATGTTGGAACTCATTGGCAGGGTTTGAAACCCACCCGTCTGTCTGACCATCGTTTTCTCTTCAGCATCATCTTGGGTCTAACAGAAAGCTTTCTTTAGGTTTTGAACCTATAAACTGGACACATCCTAGAATGATGCTTCCTTTAATTCTGACCTTACTGATCTGAGTATGCCAAACTCATCTGCCACAAATACTGTGATGGTATGAACAAAACTTGCTGATGTGGTACAGGTGGTCTCCACTGATCCAGTGGAAAAAAAAATGAAGTGATTAAGAAAAAAAAAAAATCATTTAACAGTTAGTAGTTTTGTTGCCAGTGATGGAATCGTTGAGTAGTAAAGTCGCTTTAAACAAGCCTGCTTTGCTTTGAGGCAAACGTTTGGATAATGCAGAGGAAGAAATAGCGATTTTACTTTTTGGCCCGTGCAGTCTGTTGAACTTGGAGCCGCTCACGCTCCGAGCGCCTGGGCGCTGCGTGCTGCCTTTGTGTTGCCAGTCTCGTGGAAGCAGGACTGAACTCGGGTCGGGTGACTGATACGCATTCTTGGCAGAAAGTGAAAAGTTTCGTTTTGGTCAGCGGGGAGTGTGTTTGTAAGTTCAGCTTCATGGGTATTACCGGTTTCTGGAAGTAACAAACTGGCTTGTATTCGCTTGCTCCCTCTGTGGAGCTTCTATTTTTAGTTGTTTATTAAAGCTGTATATCAAGTTAGAAAAAGCAATCTCTGTGAAGAGGATTAGAGCTCGTTTCTGAAGTAAACAGCATCAGATTTAATCTCTTTGTTTGAGTACTCTTGTTTCAGAAGCTAAGGACATTAAAGTTTTGCTGAACCTAATCTGAAAATGGGCAACTCTGTCTCTCTCTCTTTGTCCTTACCTGCTACAAGAATAAATGGCCATTCAAAAACCCAGTGTAAATTCAGTCAATTAAAATAAACCTTAGTTAAGTTGCGTGCTTAAGTGCATGCTGTGTTCTTCATTGCACGGTTATATCGATACCACGAAAAGTCAGATCCAGAATGGTACAGAGTATCCAGCAGTTGCTTTTGACTCGTCTGAAGATCATAGGCATAAAGCCGAGATTTCCCTGCCCGAGTATTGCTTCTGTCCTGCTGAACTGATGGCTTTCGTTAAGAGGTAAGTAACCCACGGCTGACGTTCACAATGACAAACCAATCATCTTTTGAGTTTCCTGTTGCTCCATAAGCAAAGCTAAAGGTAATAGCTGAAGGGTTTAGATACTGGACTTCATAAAGCTGTTACTATCTCTCTTGATTTCATCAACCAAAGACCTGTCCATCCCATTCTTGATATCGTCACTTTCCCCTCACTTCTCTCTTGATCATAAGGGACTGGACACACAAGAGGATTATTTAAAATATAGCAGTAGAAGCAGACTGGAAGTGTCTGTGAATTTTATATAGAGAAATCACCTCAACTGTGCAGTGCTACAAATATTTGTAATACTTCAGTGCACCTAAAGAGAATTTGGTTTGAGATGCACTGAGACGGCTGTACATTTGTATGTTGACACTTGCTAATAAGTTACTCATTCTCACCAGGTACGTAATGGCCAGATGTTGACTTGGATATCTTCAGTTCAGAAGCAGTAGCTACCCCAGGTGAAATTGGATGGGGACACTAAAGAATAGGAATTCTTTAAATTGAGAAACTTATTTTAAAAAGGACTTATCCCAAGAGGTGTTGGAGTTACTAACGACCCTCTGAGGAAGGGTGGATGGAACCTGGAGAAAAATAAATAGAGTAGACAGTTCAGGTAGTGGAGAGCCTCTGCATTCACTTCCTCTCGCTGTTATTTTAAAATTTTATTTTTATTTTAATTTCCTTTTTATTCCCTAATATTTAAACTTTTATATTTTATTTATTTAATAAAGGTATTTGGATAGTAAACAAGTGCTGTAGGACTAGACTAATTTCAGCTGTGAGATCTTTGGCTAAGCTTAAGGTATTTTGTTCTCATACTGCATATTGTGTTGTCTTAATTTTAAGCAAAACTTCTTCATGGCAGAAAGTAAAGAAGTTCCTTTTGTTATTCATATGAAATCTTTGATCCCTGTCAAACAGCGAAGCGGATTTAAGAGGATGTCCTAGGAAGAATCTCACTTCACCCTTGGGGAGAGTGTTAGATTGTAGTGGCACCCAGTAGCTGCCAAAAAAGTCTCGGGCAGAAATAGCTGGGATGAGGTGCGGGGGAGAAAGCACAGAAGATCAAATCTGCTATAAAAATCAATATAGGCCCTTACTTTGCAACAAAAATAAATCACTTCTGTGTCGGAGGAATGGAGGGAACAGAAAGCTGGGAGATGTATTAGAGCCAAAAAGCCAACCCAGCTATGGTGATTGTCGCTGGGAATTAAGGGGTGAGGAGGAAATCCGATGTGCGGAATCCTGGAGATGCCCCTGTTGTGGGAGAGCTCCTGGGCAGGGGTGTGGAATGGAAATCGTGTGTAACGCTTGTGCTTTTGTGAAGAGTGGTTTGTTGTCTGTAGTCTATTGACTTTTTAATGTGGATGAGTGTTAGTTGTTCTAGCTGAACTTACCTTGATTCATGCTGCTTCTCCAAAAGTTTTTCTGCTTCTAATGAGTACCAGTTTGTCCAGTAGGATCCTGCTGCTCCTCCACGTCTCTTTCTGTGTAGTTTCTTGAGATTTGAAGAACTAGTACAGCTAAAACTCTGCGTTGTCCTCTGATCTCAAGTTACTGCTAGCTTAAATAAGGATCTGTTGATAAATCTGTTGCTCATCTCTTTAAATGTTAGTCAACCTGTTCAAGTCTAATTTGAACCAGTTTTTCCCATTCCTCTGTCTCATACTGCTTTACAACTGTGAATGAAAATTCTTAAAGTTGTCAGGGCAGCGTGAACATGTTTGTGTATCAACACCTTTCAGTTCGGTGTGAAGGTGATTTCAGCTGGCGATCATGCCATGGCTCAGCTTCCAGTTCTGTCAGGGTTCAAAGATTTTTATTTATTTAAAATGTTTTGTTTGTGGTGTGTTTTTTTTTTTTCTCCTCTCCGTGAATCCCTCTATAGAAACACTACATCTGTGGCTGAAATGGTTCTCCAAAGAGATGCCAATATCCACTTGTTTGTGTTTGAAGTACATTCTTTGGTGGAAAGGGAAATAACCATTAAAAAAAAAATGCACTCAGTTGGATTTCATGGGTAGGAGTCAGGCTGACTTTCCACTGGAGAGATTGGTGATGCTGAGTCAGATCCAGATAAGGACATTTGCAGAGAATTGCACTTAATTCTGGAGGAAAAAAAATATGTCCAATTCTAGTGCAAAACACCTGCCCCCTTTCTATCAAGAGGAAGCTTGTACCCTGTAAGAGCGAGCCTTTGTAAGATGAGCTTGGCTGTGGTAAGTTCAGGGTGCTGGGGAAGGCTGGAGCTTCTGGAAACTTCCATTAGCCATAGAGCATCCATCATCTTGTCTAAACCTGCTAATCCGTCCTGGGTTGTTGCTCTGCTGGATCTCCAGCGAGATTCTAACTGGGAAGTGAATGGGTGTGAGGGCCGCAGGGAGGGTGAGGCTGCAACACCACGTTAACGCACTCTTTCAGAGAGCACCTCTCTCCTCCTGGTTGGAAAAGAAGGGGTGGCTGCCTGAGGGGCTGTTTGTTTTTCTCCTGTGTACGTTTTGGTGCATATTTCTCCTCACCCCCAATGTGTTTTAACATTTTTCCCCCCTTGATGCTCCCCTTTTTTCTCCCTGCATGGGGGTCTTCTCTGATACCCTGCCATTGGAAATGCTCTGCCTTGATGTATAGAAGACTCTACTTGTATTTGTGCTGTTGTATCGGCACAGTGTATAAATAGAGGACTTTAAGACTTTAATCTGTCCACCTGGAACAGGTCACTAGTAATAAACTTTCATTTGAAGAAGAGGGTAAGGATGAAGCATCCGTTGAGTGCACAACTACAACTCCCCCCATGGAAGCAGGGCAGAAGAGGTGTCTGACTGCTGCTAGCCTTCTACTGCCTCAGGGCATGGCAAAAAAAATGGATTTTTCTAAACTGGGTCTTGAAGATGGTTTGGATATGTAACAGCACAGTACAGATTGAAACCAAGTGTTTGCTGCTTGAGGGTTTTGCTGGCTTGAGCTTTCTGTTTATGCTGTTTGGTCACTTATTGTTGTTCTGGTTTTATTTCCCGCAGCTGTTTATCTGCTTGCTTTCTTTTTGTGAACCCTTTGGAGAAAAAGAAGTATGCTGCTTTTGTGAATATCATTATTGACGTTTTTGATGAGCTATAATTTGCCTACTGACGTTATAAACCCTATGGAAAAAATAATTTTTAATGTTTGTGTGCTGCACTAGAGCTAATTCTTCCCTACTTTTTTTTTTCTCTTTTTTTCTTTCCAGGGGATCTACAAGTATCTTGAGAGGTGTTTTTCAGACTTTAAGCAGAGAGGCTTTGTTGTTGGATATGACACACGAGGTCAGGTGACCAGCAACTGCAGCAGTAAGAAGTATGAGTATTGATTACATTTGCAAGACTAGAAATTAAATTGTGGCTTTAAATGCATTCCGTTCTATCAGAGTATTTTTGTCATGAACTGTGCACACTCTTTCCCTTCCCTTAGTCTATTTAAATAATAACGAAGAGAGGCATGGACTAAAGCTTCTGTAATACCACTTGCCAGCAAATGTGGAATGTAAGGCTAGTCACTTCACCAAAGAATTTACAGTCTAAATGCACAAGAACATTAGGCAGTCATTAAAAAGTTGATGTGCCCGGAGAGAAATTTGAATGTGAAGGTAAATTCAGAATACTAATATCTAGCTTGAGATCACTAAGTATTAATGCACTATTGTTAACGCTGTTGTTCCTTTGTATTATGCATCCAATTTAAGCTTGCTTGGGGCAGAAGAATTCTACCTGCAGCCTACTGTAACCCAGTATTTTGGTACCCTCATGCTAGTCTGGGAGCTCGGTGTAGTTCCACATTGGGAATATTTTACTTGGAATCCTTAAAATGTAAACTTCCAGTGATGCCAAATCGTGCTCTTTGCAAGGAAAGGGGAGAGAGGATCTGTGCAAGAACTGCTTCCTAAATTCTGTAAGGAATCCTAATCCCTTGTCATTTGGGGAGCAAAACACATGATGTTATGGCATGCCTTACAAAAAACCCAACCCATTAGCTAATTATTATTTAGTTAATGAGTAGTTAATTATTGTAGCTAATGTAGTTATTTGCTGTAACTAATGTAGTTATTTGTTGTTATTATTTTTGTCAACATTTAATATTCTAGAGATGTAAATGCTCTTGGTATAATAGATCACAGACTCTAGTGACTAAAAATTTCTCCGTTCCCCTGCATTCTGCCTCTCCCCGCCTGCCTGTCTGCTCTTCAGATACACGTGGCACGTTATCCACCAGGCTTTGGCATAAGGATTTTAAACTCCTCTATTACGCTGTGTTTGCAAGGCTGTTACCCAACTTGCTGGGGTTAAGCACAGCTTAAAAATGAGAAAGTATACAAAAGCCATTCCTTTTCAGCCACACAAAGCTTGGAATTCAGACTCAGGTGAGAGTGCAGTGTTTCACCTGTCAAAGGAGCAAATCAGTTCTCAACTACGTGTTTCTTTTGCCCCCCTTGGGATGGTACACAGTTACAGCAGTGCTAAAATCAGACTGAACCACCCCAGAACTGGATCAGTGTGCTTATCCAGCGCTGTGAGCAGGAGAGTCCCGTTCTTTGCATCAGTTCCAGTGCCGAGGGAGATGACAGACATCTGCCTGTATCCTGTAGTTAAGTTGACGTAAATCATTGTGATACACGAGCAAAATTTCAGAAGCTTCAGCTACCAGCTGAGCTCTTAAACTCTTTTAAAGTGGTTTCGGGTTACGTTTGATAGGTGCTGTAGTGAAATTCCGAGTAACTGAAACTTTGACTACGGTACACTCATGATGGGAGATAAGGAAGCAAGTATTCACGTTTGCCTGTAAAAATGAACGAGAAAAGCAAACTTACGCTGTTTAATCTCTCATCTGTTTTGACTCTGAGACTTCCCATTAACTGCCAAGCTGTGTGTACCTGACCTGAAAAGAACAGTTTCATATCAAACACTTACCTGAAAGAGAATGAGTTTCCCTGCTGCTTAAAAGTTTATTATAAAGGCAAGGTTTAAAACCACGGGTGCTGTTACTGTTCTTAAACTTTCTGGAATAAGAGTGTGCTGGTTTGCAGAAGTATATTTTAGGAATAGATCTGCTTGATGGATCTTGTCTGCAGCTGCTGAGCAAGGCTGGCAAACAAGCTTTGTGGTGTGGGATGCCGAACCTTTTTCCAACCCTGCTCTTGCAGGCATCTGGCACTTTAAACTTTCTGGGAGATTGGTTCTGTCCTTGAATAAAGGACAAGTGTCACACCAGTAGGTTCTGTATCTTTGGTTTTGCTATCGCTGGTTTGTTTACGGGGTTGGCTGAAGTGCCTTGTGCTCCTCGAGCAATTGGAGGGGAAAAAAAAAAAAAAGCGCTGACCTGGATTCTACAGCCTGAAAACTGCATTACATTGGTTTTACAAACTGTAGGATACTACTCTTGGTGTAAGCTAAAAAACAATAGAGGGATTTCAGGACCAAGTGAAGGGAAGGTTATGGTAACGCCATATGGCTGTTGGATTGTTGTGGGGAGTTGGGATGACTGACTCTTTTCTTTTGCATGTTGGCAGACTTGCAAAACTCACTGCAGCAGTCCTGCTGGCTAAAGATGTACCCGTATACTTCTTTTCCACGTATGTCCCTACGCCTTTTGTGGTGAGTCCTCTTCTTTTTGTATTGTTGAACCAGTTAAGGGTGTCTTTAAAATTTACTAAAAACGTGAACTAGCAATTTTCTTCTCAAATTCCATTATTTAAACAAAAAAAAAAATACAGGTTGCTTGGTATGTTTGGCTCTTCAAGGAGGCTGTAACAAGAATGTTGCTGAATTGTCCTGTGTGCAGATAGTTGATAGAATCACACTTCACCCTAAGCTGCTACGTGAGGGCAACAGTTCTTGCAGTCCAGGGTTTGCTCTGTGAGCTACAGGTGAAGCATTCTGCTCCTCTTGTATTTGGTGCGTAACCACCTGGGTGTCATAAGGGTCAAAGATGATATTTATGTGTGTGAATATCTACACGTATATAGGGACTATGACTGGAACTCCTTAGAGTGGGAGAGGTGAAGGGTTGTCTCTGCTTCTCATATCTCAAAAACCAGCTTTCTGTTCTAGCCACAGAAGATTTTTCCTGCAGGGTTTTAAATCCTTGTTTTCTCTTCTGCAAACTTCTCTAGTGTGCTGTGTGTGCTGTGGGTCTTGTTTTGAGGGGCGGGCTGAAAGGATCAGATGCTCTTTAGCTGGAAATACCCATGACGTGTCTTTCAACAAGCCTTTTGGTGAATTCCTTCATTCTGTTCCAGACTGTTTTCTCTTTCTCAAATGTGCAACCTGAGCGTAGACTTTCTTTAGTTGGCCGGTTAACAATTGTGTTTATGTAATTAGTAAATAGAATAATGTTCCTCTGCAAGAGAATACAAGTTTTCTCTCTATTACTAGCTACAGGAAACAAAATGAGGAGCATTCATGTCTACAATTTCAAATAAACTGATGAAACACTAAGAGCCACTTCTCCCGTAGCATCCTGTTGCATAACTGTCCTAATAATATAATGTTATTTGTGCCAGCGGCAGAACTCCTGAGTCAATTGACATTTCTGGGTTTCCTTTGTAGCCCTATGCTGTTCAGCAGCTCAAAGCTGTGGCTGGTGTGATGATCACAGCATCCCACAACAGGAAGGAGGACAATGGGTACAAGGTAGGGCTTGAACTTGAAGTTCATAGCATGTCACAGCCGGCTCCTTTCCGGTATTACCTACGTGCCATTGCAGCTTCTGGAGCATGTGTGTGTGTACATTAGAAGGAGAAATGACTTCAAGTAATTAATCCTTCTATAACTTGAATTACACACGCTTTCTTCTGGGACTGGAATTTAAGACCACACTGTGTATCTTGAGCACGTCTCTTGTGACATTCCAGAGTCTAATCAGCAGCTGAAGAAATGTTTAAGCAATTTATGATGTGTTCCTGTCTTATACTTAAAAATTTGTTTAAAACTAAGCTAGGACTTAGGTGAATTAGTTCAAACAGTAGGTAACTGTGCTGAAGATGGTGATGGTTTAAGTGTTGAATAATAAAACTTCGTAGTAGTGTGTTGCTTCTGTAAGGTTTTTCTGGGCATTGAAAAGAGATGGGTGGCTTCATTTTGAAATCTTGGAATAGTATAACCATCCAAAAGAGCAAATGCTGCTTATGCAGTATTGTAACACAGTATTTTCCTTCTAAACTTTTATAAGAATCTGAACTAAGCTCTAAACTTCTACTAAGCTTAGCATTCTAAAAGCTTAGTAACTGATCAGTGAGTAATGGCAGTGATAGGAAAGCCAGACTTGCTCTGCACAGAGATAACTCTTGGAGGTGATTGTACTGCACTTGTCCTCCGTGGCACAAGTTGTAAAGTACTTCACCAGTGTTTGCTTTTGTGTAACTATAGCAATGAGTAAGAAAATAAGCAACATCAGTTTTCCAGGTGCTTCATTTATCAGGAAGCTATTCTGTTTGTGTCTTCTGATAGAAAGCATTTTATTCTCATCAGGTTATTGTTTTTTTCTAGTCTTTCACAAGCATCGTTTTATCTTTCACTGTTTCCCGTGTGAATTCAGCAGCTCCTGAAGGTTTTGGACAATTTTAAGCTAATTTGACAAACCCGTAGTTTTGCAGATAACTGATTACTTAACGGGTTTCGTGAAAGCCAGTGGGTAAGAGAGACAGATTGGTCTGAGTAGAAGGTCTGCACTGTGAGCTCAACTGTGCTATTGGAAACAAACTGTGGGAAAACCAGCATCTAAAATAATTCTCCAACAAAGACTTTTTATAGTTCAGCATTTGATAGTGTTTCCAGCTGAAAGATCGCAGTTGTTCAGTTATGGAAAACATGTACCTTGGCACACTGCTTATCTGTTTTGCTTTGATTTCAAAAAACAAGTTGTGCTTCTTTCTCAAAAGGAATGCCAGGTTATGTAGAAGGTCATGTTTTTCTTCTGTTACAGTCTGCACAACACTCTCAAATGTAAGTGCCCGGTTTCGGTTTCTCACGTCTTGATGATTTCAGTCATAACAGCTCAATACCACCTTTTTTTTGAAAATAGATCGTGTTGCTGAGTAGCTATCATCACATCAACTGGGATTCCAAATGGCTTTTGAGGTTCAGGCCGGTCTGATGCAAGCCTTTTCTGTATGGCTGCAGGAAGCATGCAGAATCCTACAGCTAAAAGCATTTATCAAGTTAATAATCTTTGTAAATAAACTGTGTCTTGTTTTCCTTAAACTTATACCAGGTTTATTGGGAAAATGGAGCACAGATCACCTCTCCTCACGATAAGGAAATTATAAAATGTATAGAAGAGTGCGTTGAACCGTGGAATGGCTCTTGGAATGAGAATCTAGTAGACACCAGTCCCCTTAGACAGGATCCTCTGAAGAAAATTTGTGACTGTTACATGGAGGATCTGAAAAGGATCTGTTATCATAGGTATAAACCAAAACGTACTTAAATGATGGTTTTAAGTAAGCTCTGGGTGACAATGTTCTGGAAAACTAACTGCTGACAGATAGACTTCAATAGTAAAGCTTCTGATTTGGGTGTAGGGGTTGGGCAGTCTTCCAAAACTTTAATATTTTCAGACCTGCCTGTAGTGGTTTTTATTACAGCGACTCGATTTCTGTCCTTACGGTTCACAGAAGCCGAGTGCTCCACTCTGCCACAGACATCACTGTCTGCTTGAGGCCATTGCTCTGTGCTCTTCATGGTGGGAATAATTTTTGGTCATCTCCCCATTCTGTCTCACCCCATCTCTCCCCTGATGTGGCATTAAATTAGGACTAAACCATACTTGATAATAAAACCTTTGGACACTAGGCTCCAGTGAAGCACCCTGATGTGAACCATTTTCTGAATAAAATGCAGAAATTCAGAGTAAAGGTGAGGTGTACATGCGTGGAACAGAGGTGAGAAGATTAACTTAAAGGCTGGGTGGGGCAGATGACAAAAATAAAAGGAGGAGGATGTATAATGTAGGTAGAGTAGAGCCAGAGCAAGATCTTGAGGGTGGTGGAAGATCTTGGGTTTGATGCAGAAATTAACAGTTCATTCTTGGGAGAATTTCAGCCCATTCAGCAGAAGGTAAATATCTCCTTTTCCAGGAGAGGCTTTAACCCAGCAATTTCTAGTGAAAGTCCAAATGAGCACTTTTCACTCATTCCTACTTTGAAATTAATGCAGAAATCAGCAGAATAGCACAAAGTATAATTGCATTTTCTTTTGCTTTCTCACATGAAAGTACTCTTGTCAAATAACTGAAATCTTACAGAAATTCTTTTTTTCCTTCTCAGGGAGCTAAACGTGCAAACAAATTTGAAGTTTGTTCATACCTCTTTCCATGGAGTTGGACATGACTACGTGCAGTTGGCTTTCAAAGCGTTTGGCTTTCAGCCCCCCATTCCAGTACCTGAACAAAAAGATCCGGATCCAGACTTCTCTACTGTCAAATGCCCAAATCCTGAAGAAGGAGAATCTGTGCTGGTATTTTTGTTTCTACTTCATCACAGTTCTCTGTTTAGATATGAAACTTTGTTGGAAAAAAAAAAGAGAGAGACAAAAGATGAGAACGGGAAGTACCTGACTTTCAGCTCTGTTAATACAGTGGGCAAACTATATGAGATTTTCTTTCACTCCATGTTATATGTAAGTAGGATGACTGTGGATTTATTTTCTCACATGATTTTATTTCCCCGCCCCGCCCCTTCTCTCACCAGGAGCTGTCACTGAGGCTTGCAGAGAAAGAAAATGCTAGAGTTGTAGTGGCTACTGATCCAGATGCAGACAGACTAGCAGTGGCAGAACAGCAGAAGTAAGTGATGGGCCCTCAAATTTTACCTCTTTCTGCAGAAGAGGTGGTGAAAATTGCAGAATGTCCCCAAATGGTAGAGAGGCACACACCTTCAACCCACTCTTTCCTGTTGTGACTTAAGTTATTCAGGTATTCCTAGCTTCATCTTTTGGTATAGCTCCACCCGAAATAATGTCTTTTCAATAAAATCAGTTAACTCAGAAAAGATTAAAAATTTAACCAGTGTTACAGTAAATGACCAAATAAAACTTAACTGAAAAGTTGCGTGGTGACTAAAGGCAGTAAAATCTTTTTGTTACTGGTGTTTTTATTAGGCAAACAAATTCTGCCTTGGGACAGTTAGCTGTGGTAGGCTTTTTTTGGGTGTTTTTTGTTGTGTTGTTGGTTTGTTTTTTTTCCCCCCCGGCACCTTTATATTGAATAGAAATTATTTTTCTTCCACTAACAGGCCAAAATTCTGATCATTGTGTAAGTAACTGTCTATAATACGTGATTGCTCAGGCATTGCCTGACTGCAATGTGTAGACTGCTGTACTTCTGTCTGATAAATTAAAAAGACCTGAACTGTTTTAAAGCTGACAGTAAGGATACTTAATTGGTATCTTTGCTTGCTAACAGAATGCTCTGGGCTTGTAAATCATTGAGACGTGATAAATGTGGAGTCCTGTTGGTACGATGGCTTTGTATAGAGCAGCTTGTCAGTAGTGTGCTCAGATTCCTGTTGTTCCAGCGACTGCAGAAAGCATTTCCCCCTGAGTGGATGCTCCTGGGCAACCTGAAAGAGCTCTTAACATTTTCTGTCCTGTCTGCCTGCAGTGGCTGCTGGAAGGTGTTCACCGGCAACGAACTAGCAGCTTTGTTTGGGTGGTGGATGTTTTCTTGCTGGAAGGAAAACTGCTCCGAAGATGCTGATGTGAAGAATGTTTACATGTTAGCGACCACAGTCTCCTCGAAAATTTTGAGGGCTATTGCACTTAAAGAGGGATTTCACTTTGAAGTAAGTCTGAGTTTTTTATGATTTTTTATTTTTATTTTTTTTTCCCCCCCCCCAAACATTGGACACGTTTAGTGTCCAGCTGGACAGGGCACTGGGCCATCTTGTCTAGACTCTGCTTTTTTGCCATGAAATGTTGGACCAGATGATCCTTGAGGTCCCCTCCAGCCTGATAATCTGTGATTCTGTGTCTTCTTGGCAATCAGATTTTACTCTGCCGTGTTCTCCATCTAGCCCCTCTGCTTACGACTTCACAAAATGGAAAAATAAACAGATGGCTTCCAGTCTGCTGGCTGGGAGTTTCTCTGTGTGCCAACTTGCAGAGAACACTGTTTTACCTGGGCAAGCCTGGTTTCAGCCTCTGTAGTGTTTCTCAACACTTGTTACAGTGAATGCAGACTGTGAGATCAACTTAAGCAAAGCTGCAAAGAGACCGTAACGTGGCACAAATTAAAGCCTGGATTACATATAATAGAAATGCTGCTGTCTTGGTTTTTTTCCTAGAGATAAATTCTTGGCTAATAGAATCAAGGTGTGTGCAACTTGGCGTGTTTACTACAAAAATGGAGTGCTTTTTGATGGATTTGTAACAAACACAGGTTACACAGTGTTCCTTCAGGCGCTCAGATCCCCAGTAGGTTTTAAATTTGGTTTTACTTCAAATTGTGACAGGCAGAGGATCCCTTATGTTCCGATCTTTAATTTCATTAAGGACTTGCTAAAAGAGAAAATGGGGGGAGGTTTCCCCCGCAGACTGACAGTTACTGTTTAGTTCCTGCATTCAAATTAAGTACTTGCTCAGATTTCTGAGCCTGCTGGATGTTAGAGCACTTGCATCTGTTATGGCTAAAGCTTAGCACGACCACACAAGGATCCAGGTCTTGTTTAATACGTGTTTTAGTTAAATCCGTGTGCGATGCAACAAAAAGATTTTGCCAAATGCTGGGAATTTCCAGTTTGACTGGAAAAGAAGTAGGAATTTACAGAACCCCTTGGTCTCCTCTAAAAGCTTCCCCTCTTTATACCTTCTTTCTCTCCAAGAAGGACAGTTTCTGAGTGTTTGATTGCTTTTGCGTGATTTGCAGAGCACAAGGAGTGCTCTTCCCTCCCATCACCCAAAATTGCTGTTTATGTTTCTGTAACTTTTTCCTTTTGAATAACCTTGTACTGTTGTTCTCATCTGATAAGCACCACGGAAGATCTTACCTGGTCTCGGAGAGAACCACAGTCTCTCAAACACGCTTATTCCTTGATTTAATATTCATGTCCTCGTTGAGTATTCACTAGTAAAATTCTTTCCAATGTCTCTTTGCCTTAGATTTGTTATCTAAACTGTGAAGGTATGACTTGTCTAATGTTTGTCTTTACTGTCCCTATTCTGTCTGTCAATTAGATTTAAATTCAGGGAAATGATTTTGAGAAAATCAGAAAAATCTCCTTAAGCTTTAGTGTTTTGACTCTGCAGCAGTCTTTCCCACTGATGGTAAAATTCAGGATAATATTTTAATTTTTTTTCTTTTTGAGTCTGAAGCATCCTGGAGATGAAGGGAATAGTAGCTACACTTCTTTGACTTGAAACTAAATTTAAAAAATGTATATTTAATGCACTCTTCTGTTTCAGGAAACACTCCCTGGTTTTAAGTGGATTGGAAGCAGAGTAAAAGATCTCCTAGATAATGGAAAAGAAGTTCTTTTTGCATTTGAAGAGTCTATTGGTATGTATGCTAATATCACTTTTAAAATGTTGAGAACTGAGGAGGGGGGGAATGTGACTAAAAAGGAGTGGTCTTGGTTATGAAATGAAACACAGGAAATTTATTTTTCTTTCTGCGCTTACTGCTATTGAAATTCTGCTCTCATCAAATCAACTTGCCAACTGTCATAACAACTGATAGATGAATCTCTGATTCTGGTATTGTGCTTGTGCAGTAGCCCCACACAAACCTGCTCTGATACAGGTGGAAAGCCCTCAGATGCCAGAGCCAAACTGCTGTTGCTCTGTGGCCTTAGAGCTGAGATTAAGCGCAGGATCTGTTCTTAATCAGTTCAGTGTCTTCCAGGTCCTCCTGCTGTAATGGCTCTGTGGATCTGGGAGGTGGTGGCTTTGGCCACACTACCTGTCACAGCAGTACTGTGGTTCCTCCAGGAGCTGCACACTGTCCCCTCATGCTTCAGGACAATATGTGAGGAAGCCAGAGATGTGCAGGAATAACATGAAATACCTATGGAAGCGTGTGAATATTCCTGCTGACCTTGCCTTGAGCACTCTGCTTACCTTGGTCATCTTGCTGACGCCACTTACCTGCAGAGAACTGTGTAGTGAGCGTTTCAGCTACAGGAATTCTCCACTTCTTCAGACAAACGGCAGCTTTCTGGGACAGCATATTCACATGTAATATGGCATTTGAAAAAAGAAGCACCCGCTGAAGAGGGTGTGTGTCCGTGCTGGCTTTATTCACAGAATTAAAGAAGCTTTTAACCATAAGGAGTTAGGATCTTGCTCGCACATCCCTTTAGAAACACGGCGTCTTGGCAGTACTGGGGGGCACTGGTGTGTGGGTTACCAAGGCTGTATCTGTGGGGGTTCCTTTGGTTCAAATGACAGGCAAGACTCTTTGCAGTATCGGTGTGCTTGTACAAAACAAGCAAATTCTTGTTTAGTGCTGTACTTTGAGAGATCTTACTGAGTCAGAATCATTCAGGTTGGAAAAGCCCCTCAGGATCAGCGAGTCCAACCCTCAGCCCGACTCTACAAAGCTCTCCCCTACCCCACATCCCCCACAGCTCATCCCAACGGCCCTGAAACCCCCCCAGGGATGGGGACTCCCCCCTCCCTGGGCAGCCTGTTCCACTCTCGGACCACTCTTGCTGGGAAACATTTTCTCCTCCTGCCCAGCCTGACCCTCCCCTGGGGCAGTTTCCAGCCGTTCCCTCTTGTCCTGTCCCTGATCCCCTGGGAGCAGAGCCCAGCCCCAGCCTCTCTGCAATGTCCTGTCAGGAGCTGCAGAGAGGGATGAGGGCTCCCCTCAGCCTCCTCCTCCTCACCCTGAACACTCCCAGCTCCTTCCCTGGCTCCTCACAGGATTTATTCCCCAGGCCCTTCCCCAGCCCCGTTGCCCTCCTCTGCCCTCGCTCCAGCCCCTCCAGATCTCTCTGGGGTTGAGGTGCCCAAACCTGGACACAACCCTCCAGGTGTGGCCTCCCCAGTGCCGAGCACAGGGGACTGTCACCTCCCTGCTCCTGCTGGTCACACCAGTGCTGACCCAAGCCAGGAGGCCGTTGGCTTTCTTGGCCCCTGGGCACGCTGCTGGCTCCTGTTCAGCTGCTTGTCACTGAGAACCCCCAGACCCTTCTCCCCCAGACAGCTCCAGCCACCCCTCCCCGAGCCAGTAGCCACGCAGGGGGTTGTCATCTCCTCAGAGATGCAGATGTTATCAATCTGGAATTAATTAATTATAGCATGTATCTTTCCAGCTCTATAACCCCTAAGTTAATTAGATTTCTTAGAAAAGTAATAAAACCAACTTACATGTATCGGCCAATTTTCTTTTAAAGGAAAAAGATTAAACCTTCAATCAAGTAAACCAATGTAATAATATGCCGGGTCATTTTTTCCACAATCAATTTTTTTTATTTCTAGGCTTCATGTGTGGCACATCAGTGTTGGATAAAGATGGTGTAAGTGCAGCTGTGGTCACAGCTGAAATGGCAACCTACCTGGAAGGCAAGAACCTGACGCTGGCACAGAAACTCACCGAGATATATGAAACGTAAGTTGTGGTTTTTATTAGTGCGTTCTAGAGAACTGTTTTGGAGCTGGGCATAATCTTGTAAATATTTTTAATGCGTCCCTCAGACGTTTTGTCATTGTAGATTGGCTTTTTTTCTGATGCTGTGATGGACTGCAATCGTCGGTGTGACAGCTACCACTTGGATGTCAGATCTCCCAAAGGACTAAAGAGGCCCTTCCTATCATGTTTCTGCAATAAATTGGGGAAGAGTAGAATTTTGTGTAGGGATCCAGCAGGACAAGCTTTTTCTCTCTTATTTAATTCATGCTATGTTACTTCTCTTAATTCTGATTGGTAGTTTTAGTTGTGGTCTGTGTGCTTCTCTTTAAACAGTTACTAATTTCACTTAAACACGCTCTGGGGATTGTTAGAAGGTCCCGTGCTGTTCTTGCAGGGATTTGTAACAGAACAGAGGTTAAAGGAATGGCCTGTGTTCGGTAGCTATGGACACAATTCACAGCAATAAAGTAAGGAACATGTTTATGTCGGAATTAAGTCACGTACTGTGATAAGCCCAGTTCGTCGGCAGAAGATCCTGCGCTTTAACAGAACTGGTGGTGCAGTTAGAGCAAATCAGAGATGCCATTCCTTCACCTGCCAGCCCAGCAGAGAGACTGTGGCCCTCAGAACCTTGTAACGAGGGAGCCCAAACGATGGTCAGCGTTTATCTCTTCATGGCACTCGGGAGTTTGCTGTGTCATATGCAAACTGTAGCAAAACCCATTCTGCACAGCTGGATTGAAAAGCTGTCAGAGAGATAACAATCGATTTTCCAGTCACAGTTTTTGAAGCTGCAGAGAAGGGTCTCTGTGGAATGAGGAGTGGGTGGAATATAGCGAAGAACAGCTGAAATTCCAACGTGTGCACGTGGTCGCTGCACCTCGTGAGTGCTCGCGTTCGGTCTGACTGGGGATAGCAGTTTTAACTTGGGTGAAATCATCAGTCACCTGCCTCAGAGGCTGTTGGAATAATCTGTTGTGGCTGCTTGCTTTGCTTTGGCAGACAGTTTTTGATGGTGTGGGAATGATGCTGCATATTCATTTCCCGAGGGCTACTAAGGCTGCATTTAGCCAAATGGCTGGCTTTTATTTCTTTGGAACTGAAACCTTAGCTTGAATTTAAAAATAGCTTAAGATAATCTGAGTAATGCAGTGAATTCTGCTTCAGAGTCCAAACATTTACCTATGAATACTGTTTCCACAGCTGTGAGAACTGCATTCTCTTTCTGTTATTGCTTTTCCAAACAGGGGCTTGCTTTAGATACCAGATGTGCAGATAACTTCTGAATCTTGTCACTGAAAATGTTGATCTGCTTGTAGGTATGGATATCACATATCAAAGACTTCTTATTTCTTGTGCTACGATCCTCCTACTATCAAACGGATATTTGAGAAACTTCGGAACTTCGATGCCCCTCAGTCTTACCCCAAATTTTGTGGTATTTACAATATATTACACGTACGAGACATTACCACTGGCTATGATAGCAGCCAGCCAAATAAGAAATCGGTGAGTTACAAAGGATTTTTGCAGGAGAGGTTCTGTTTTTGATGAGACTGAAAGTTAAACACACCAAGAACTACACAGAAAGATGTACTGTGTCCGCTGAGATGGCAGCATAATTACCATCATCTATTAAGACTGCTTAACAACATTTACTGGGGGAGAGGACTGCTTAAATGTGAAATGGCTTGGCTATTGTGTTGACTATTTTGATATAACAACGAATGAACTGCATTAGTTCAAGGCAGCTTGATGCTCCTGCAACTCTGGAGCTGTCTAGCAGACTTCCAGGTGTTGAAATTCCAGTGGGAGTGGGAATTCCAGTCCCGTTACCCTGAAATATTGAGTCTGATCGAAGTGATAGGTCTGTCAGGATGAAATAACTTGTTTTAATCTGTTGGCTTGTGGATGTACACTGCAGGGGACATCAGCACGTTTAGCTTTGTATGTACTGAATGTTGTATTGAAAAAAGAATAAATTTATTAAAAATCCTCTTTGGTGTTAGCCGGGGTGTTCTGTAATAAAATGTTGTTGTTTTACCTAGGTACTGCCAGTGAGTAAAAGCAGCCAGATGATCACTTTTACATTTCAAAATGGTTGTGTTGCCACCCTTCGGACAAGTGGAACAGAACCAAAGATCAAGTACTACGCGGAGATGTGTGCACTGCCCGAGCAGAGGTCAGTAGCCGGCCTGCGGGCACACGCTCTCGGTGTCACACAGGTCAGGGTGCCTGGGGGGGGGGACACCTCTCTGCCTCCTCAGAGACTGAGCCTCTCTTAAACTGGCCACAACCATGCACATCCCAGCCCGTAAGGGATCCCCTCTGCAGTGGATAAAACCAAGAATTAAATTTTCAGCACCTGCTACAGTAGGAGACTTCTCTTATTAACCCAATTCCTCGCTCGCTTAGAATTAAAAAGTGACAAAGTTGCGCTTCACTGGCAAGTATGCTTAAACCCAGGTGGATTCTTGGTGCATTTGTGTTGCTCCGAGCTACTGGATAGTAACTAGAGGTCTGTGCCCTTTTGACAGCCACCTGGATTGAGCTGCTTTCTGTTTAAAAGAGGGGAAATAAAAACAGGGTGTGTTTTACTGAAATCAGGAGTGTGGACAAGGAGCCCAGGTTCTCAGTCTAGCTAACGGAGAGAAGCAGGCTCTTGAATGGGATTCCTAACCTAAATCGAGTACCGCTCCTTTCAGACTTGTGTCCCAACATTTCTGTGGAGCAGAGAATTGAAAATAACACAAAGGGGCCTCTGGTTCAGTATTTATTTCAACTTGTTGGCAGGAATTCAGGGTGAGTGTATTTTTATCACTGAATGTTTTGGTGAGATTTAGGCAGTCAGTGGATAGTCCCTTTGCTTCTAAAACGTGCACGTGAGGGGATACGCAGATCCACGCCGAGACACCTTTCCACAGGTTGCTGAAGTATTCTTTACAAACATGTTTTATTGCCACATGAAGCCCGTTAACATAGCTACAGCGCATCTTTTGAACCATGTTTTTAAATTGTTCTGGGTTGACCATGGAATAACAGGTCAGAGAAGTGTTAGGAGTTCTACATCCCAGTTCTCTGAATGGCAGCTCTTGCCAGAAGCTTGTATTTATTTGGTTGGAGAGCTTTCTGATTGTCTGGCATGTGAATGCACTTTGTTACGTGGGTATGGAAATTCTCACTTCGGTTTAGAACATGCTTCCGTAAACCTGGGAGTGGGCAAGGTACCAATTGCTGTAAATGCTGCAAAAAATGTGAGAGATAATGAGGCAAAGAGCTGCACCAACAAGCAAGACATAAATGCTAGAAATATTGCCCTGAACCTAATAATCTTAACACAAGTGAAAGCCAGATGGGTAAGAATAGTGGGGAGAGAAACACTACCTGAGGATTTGTTGCATCATTTGGACTTCTGCTGGTAAGTCAGAAAAATACCTTTAATTTTAGTAATACCTATGGTTAGTGACAATTATTATCCAGAGCATGACATTGAAAAGCTTTCAAGCTTCCCTCGTTCAAGGTGTAAACCATCTGTAGGAACCTCAAAAGGCTTTCCTCTCCGTAATAGCTTTGCAAATATTTCTCTGACTTGCTGTTTATTGATTGTTCTTAAAAGCTGAACCTCAGGAAATTCTCTGTTGTTGCAGCATTTTGGGGTGTTTTCTTTAAAAGGAAGTGGTGACCTGAAGGGCAACGATATATTGCCAGTTCCACAAGTGAGCAAAGGAAATGTAAATAAGCCTGGTTTGTCTGTTCTCCATTAAAAACACTGAGTTCCTCTCCCTCTAGTGAGACCCCTGGCCTAGGAGAGGGATTAGGCTTTTTTTTTTTTTTTTTTTTTTTTTTTTTTAAAGGAGTGTCGCAATGCATTAGTGTTTGTGCCTGTGGATCTTGTCTTTTTACTCAAACGAATGTCTGGACGTTTAAATAGGGAAAGGATCAGTGTATTACGGTGTCCTCTTGTGAGCTGTGACACTTTGCCTGATTACTCAATCCCCCAAATTGCCCTTGAGTCAAAATACAGTCACATACCCTGGATGGGTAGAGAAGAATACAGGGGATCTAACTCTTCTGTTAGTAGCTCATTCTTCCTCTTTAATCCATTTAGTCTGTGTCTGACCAGTCTTGCATTGGTTTTGCAGTCATTAGTGTCCCCTTTGCTAGCCTAGAGCCCTCTAGTGGCGATTATTTTTAAAAAATTAAATGAATTTAAATGAATACAGCAATAGTCCCTACTGAGAAGTACCTTGTTAAATCAAGCAGGTTGGAGTCTCCACACGTTGATGCTGGTAGGAGCCATCACAGCTAGTCCACCACCATCAGATCTTGCCTTTTTAATTTTTGTTTAAAAAAAAATATGTTTATAGTGTTTATCAAACCTCTGACATGGTATTGTGCTCTTTCTAGTGACAGAAGCATTCTGGAAGAAGAACTTCAGAAGCTTATTGAGGCTTTGATTGAGAATTTTCTTGAACCTGATAAGAATGGACTGATCTGGCGCTCAGCTTAGATCTCCTGTAACCGGTGTTCAGAGAAGCGACCGCCTGCACTGCGTCATGTGAAACAAAGGAACCAAGAACAGAACTCCATTTCATACGTGTGCGTGTGTGTGCGCGTGTTAAACAGCTACATTTTTATTCTGTAAAGAAGCAGCATTCTTTTGTCAGGCTTTTCACCAAAGTCTGGGCTAGAAAATTGGGATAAGGAGAGAAAGCGAGAGTAAAGGATGGAATTTATTATTATAATTTCCCATCCTTTTGACCAAATTCATCTGCACCAATGCAAATGAACAGCCCATGTAGGTTTAAGGCGGCAGATCTTAGCCACTAGATCCGGTCTTAAACTAATTTCAGGTACCCAATACCTTTTTGTGCAAAAAAAAAAAAAAAAAAAAAAAAAAACGGGTAGTCTCAGTGGTTGAAGGAAGCCATTACTCCAAACTGACAAAACTGCTTCTTCCTAGCTGTTGTGTGTGAGTGTAGGTATCATTGTTACAGGTCTTAATTTCCAAAAACGTTGGAGTTCAGTGCTTAGCATTTCTTGTTTAGGCAAGTTGTTCAATATGACATTTTTTTCAGCTACTTAAGTATCCTTCCGTTGTTAAAGGTGCTCTTGGTGCATTGTATTTCCTGTGTGTATCTTAAAAATATTTACTCGATAGTGAAACAATAGTGGCAACACATGCAGCCTGGGGTTTGAATTGTGTAGTGCCTTTCGGAGGCTTCCAGAGGAATGCAAACTTGTTCATTCCTTGGCTAAATTGCCCATTCAAACCACCGTAAGCTTGGTAACAATTTTTTTGTCCCACATCTCTGAAGGATCTTAGCTTTTTCTTTTTGTTTTTAATAAACGTTTCAGAAATTGTATGAAAATTCCAGTTAGTGACTTTTTTGGTTTTGAAAGTGGAGATGAGACACTGACACCATAGACTTTTTTTTTTTTTTAGTACCTAAATAATGATTTTTTTTGGTCATGTCTTGTAAGCTAATTTCTGTTAGAATAACAGTTTACAAATACTATTATTCTTTAGCTCTTGGCACAAATCTTTAGCAACTTCCCATTGTCTGTTTTCTACTTTTTCTTGAGTAGAAAGTGATACTGCTAATCACTTTTTCCAGAAAAATAGACTGCTACAGAAATCCTCATGTAGATACCTAGGGCTTCAGACAATAAAACCTGTGTCTTTTGGCCCAGAAAAGCTGTGGAAGATACTTGAACTGAAACAGCACTTCAAGAAAAAACTGCGTATTGATTAACTGAGAATACTCCTTGTTAACGTGTGCTGCTACGTTGCTAATATAACCCTCCGAATAAAGCCAGTGATGTTCTGAACATCTCCCCGCTATCCCGTCACAATAATTAAAGAAAAAAAACCCCAAACCTGAACACTTAACCGCTGTGTTGAAGGGTACCTGAGAAGAACGGAAGATGCCCTGAAGTTAAAGCCGTTGTTTTGCCACTATTGTTAAATGGCTGAACCTGTCCTCCATCCCGTTATACCCTTACAGCTTGATGCCGTAGGATTGCGCGGAGTGTTTTTGTGTGTGTTGCATCTAGATGGCTTTACAGAGCACCAAGGTTTCTGTGTCTGTGCGGGTATTGGGTATTTCATGCTGACAGAAGCTTTGCACTATAACCGTGGATAAGTATTTTGCTGTATATGAATGTACATGTACTGCAAGAAGGTCTGTGTTGCACAAATTCTTATTTGCCACTGATATTTATTTATTTTTTATTTTAAGAGAAAATATTTCCAAATTGTTCTGCAATTGAGTGAAATGTATCTAATGCCAAGATTATTATTTTTTTTTTTTTCTTGGTTGTACATTTGACTGATGTGGTGGGGAAAATGGGTGAAAGCATTTACGCGTAGAGCGCGCCCATGTTGTTGTACAGGGCTGGGTAGGTCTCGGAAGGTGTAAAGGCATTTCTGACTGCTGCTTTGTCTTGAGTTTTCACAAAAAAAGATGCAGATCTGGATCCCGACTGCGCTGGATTTGAAGGAGGTTTGTTCCACTGGCAGCAGATTAAAGCCTTAGGCATTTTGGATTTTTGTTTTTAAATAGCCTGCTAGTAGTACAGAAGAGAACAAGAGACTTAGAACATAATTTTGAACAAAGGTAAACACTGTAAAAAGCGTAGTGTGTGTGCGATGAGGCCAGCTGTGTGTATATCGTAGCAATTAGCATTAGGAGTTTCGTCTCGCGAGTTATGTTTATGCTTCTACGAAGAGCAGGAATCTGCAATTTCCCAGAGAGATCTGCTTTATATCAGTAGTCAAGTGCCATAAATGCAGTATGGGAGAAAACCGTGATTACGTTTTCAAATCGGCATTCTTAGAAGTTGGTAACTGTTCCTAGTCGAAATATCTTGAATTAAAAAAACCCAAAATACGGGGAGTTAAGATCCTTCTCGCCGATAGCTTTGAGCAGTAAGTTATAGATGTAGTAGTGCTTTTGGAATGACAGCAACAGGCACGATGTGTTGAATGTATTTTAAGGGTATAATAACTATTGCTGTTTTTAAACTGCTGCTACCGTTGTTTTCCTACTGTATTTGAACTGTTTGATATATTTATACTGTTCCGTTTGTGGAACTCCTCCTTGATCTCCTCCCTCTGATCTTGCTTCCCTTACTTCTGTTACTGTGAAGGACTGTAATTCTCTTATTTCATCACCCTGTAACTGTGTGTTATACATTGTGTTCGAGTTTGGGCTTGTGCACAGCCCTCTTTCAGTTGTCAGCTGTTCTTTACTATTTTTCAGATAAGAACAAAGGCTTTTCAGACTTGAGCAAGGAGCAGATAATAGATCAAAGTACGCTGTGGATGTTTACTAAGCGCTGCCCGTTAACATCCGCCTTGTCAGAGATTGGTCTACAGCAAGACATTGGCTTAAACTGTAACCGTGCAGCCAAGGATTTGTGTTAAGCATTTGATAAAATAAGTAGGGCTTGTTTTTGTCTTTTTCCCTTTTTGACGTGACAGGGTTAATCCCTGTCTCACTCAGATGTGTGATAAAGTTGTGTTTCCATAGGCCTAGGACAGGACCTTTGTAAGTCCAGGAGATTTGCCAGGCAAGGTTTGAGTGTCTATGATACAGAGCTTGTGGCCAAATTTTTTATTCTAGTTGTGCTAACAGCGTTCAGTCCGTGGTTTAAGTAGCCTTGAGTGCTATTCGCATCTCTTCTGGCACCTCTGAAGGATGCGTCCTGCCACGGCGTGAGTGAATCCTAAACTCTTGCGTGGAAGAGAAGGAGGTTTAACACAGGACAGTTTGGCTGGAAGCTTCAAGCCCAGCTTTGGCCGTAGCCTGGAGTAGCTTCACTTGCCCAGCCCTTCGCTCGCAGCCCCAGCACGAGGCAGCTCCCAGGAGCCAAGTTTCCCTTGGGCTGGAGAACTGGGATCTTGCCTGAGTGGGTCTCCTAATTTTTCCTTAATTTAAATACCCAGCTCTTCCTTCTGAAGAGGGGAAAAACCTTAACTGCGTCATCCACGGAGTAAATTAAAACTCTCCATGTTTGCGTTTCAGACATTGAGGTGACTTACAACATGGAGTACACGCTGCCTGGGCTCCTTTACCTGCCTTGGGCAGCTCTTGGCTGATCTCAAGCTCTTGCTGTAGCTTTGCCCGGAGGATACCCACATGTGAAAATTTTTGGCATTATTCCCCGGTTTAGCGATACTCCGGTTGCACTTTGTGTCCTCTCTCTGCCTGGCTCCTGAGGGATTTGAGCTCCTGTTTCATTAAAGGGAGCGTGTTGGTGTGAGACTATGAGAGGACTGAGGGTGAAGCCACCAGGTGGACTGATGGTTTTTGTCATTTGTGGTGGGGTGGAAGGCGTGATCTGCTTTAGAAAGCACTTGGATGTTCTCTTGAATTTTAAATCATCATTCTGTCATCCCCCACCCTGTTTGGCCTTGTCTCCCCAAGTAAGGGAGTTTTTGCATGGGGACGCCTGGGTGGTTACAGTCCATCGTGATACGCAGGACATTTTCCATTCTCCCCCGCCCCTCAAGAGTAGCTTTGTACGAGGTGATTCGAGGATCTGAAGTGGCATCTTTCTCCTTGTCTAGAATCCTGGGGAGTTCTGGATCTGTACTCTCGTTTACCTTGTGTCTGTTCTGTAAAACTAGGGCATATTACAAAAACAGAGTGAGAATTTGCACTTTTCTGAAGAATTTCTGTGTATTGCTATGTGGATTTAGCTGAATGAAGTGTTATAAGTAATAAAATATTCTTTGTAGTAGCAACCCTTCGTGTTTCTTTGGTCTTTAGTCAAACGCTATTACCCCAAAACTGGAGTGGGTGGGTAATTGTTCCTGACTTGGTGTAGGAGGAATATTGATGGTGTGCTGCTCAGAGTGCTGCAGCATTCTCCTGGCAACACCGGCTGCTCGAGGCGTGGATGGGCACAGGCTTTGCTGGGTAAAACCTGTCTGAGGGCCGGGCCCGGAGAGTTGTGGTGAGCGGAGTTAAATCCAGCTGGCGGCCGGTCAGGAGCGGTGTCCCCCAGGGCTGGGTGCTGGGGCCGCTCCTGGTTAACATCTTTACTGGTGATCTGGACGAGGGGGTCGAGGGCACCCTCAGTCAGTTTGCAGGTGACCCCCGGTTGGGTGGGAGTGTTGGTCTGCTCGAGGGTGGGGAGGCTGCAGAGAGACCTGGCCAGGCTGGAGCCACGGGCTGAGCCCGACTGGGGGAGTTTCACTGAGGGCAAATGCCGGGGGCTGCCCTTGGGCCACAACAACCCCCAG